AGCCTTTCTAGCGGAAACTAAACGCAATGTGATTTGCGTCCAATGCTGATCTTAAGCTGGTGAGCACCATGTCACCCACCGGCGGGTGGTGCGGCGGAAGTTAGTGCTCGCAAGAAATAGGCAAGCATTTTCACACAGATGAAGTAACTGCTCACCGTTATCATTGCGGGAGCCGACATCGCCTGTGTCGCTCTGATGCAGTTCATCAGTGAGCAGTTTTTCATCGTGAGCGTTCAGATCCCCAGCCAGTACAGTGTCCATGCTTCTTCTATGGCGAAAGAACTCGTTCATTTGGCGATAGAAATCGGCTTTTACCGTATCGTCGTTATCGTTTATTGGCGCGTAGGTAACGATGACGAATAAACGCCTACTAGTCCTGCGGGACTTCGAAGCTTTGAACGAGTCAGCCAGTCGGACCGCACACATCCAGTTACTGATTGGGATTCAATCAGCCAGAGCAGCTTCAGTCCGCGGACGTAGAGTAATCCAACACCGGCTTGGCTGACACTCGAAGCTGCATCGTCTCCGGATAAGTGCAATAAGAAAGCACTGCTTGTGTCACCTGAAGCGGATCGCAAAACGGACGCGTAGTTGGAGTCTTGCAGGTGGGTTTCCGATAAGCAGCAGATATCGATCGAGATGGTCTCTGATGTTTGGGCAGCTGCTGCCTGTTGACTGATCTGTAGCAGCATGCGTGCACTGAGGCATGCAAATCTGAGGGAGGATCAAGGGCTCCGAATAGAAGCCGATGAACTGGGCTTGTCGATAGGGCAAGAGCGACGATCTGCCTTTACATGTGATTTGAAATTACAAGCTAAACGCCTATCCAAGCAAGGTGGGGGCGGTCCAAAAGTTGGGGGGTTTTTAACGGGTGGATAAAGTGAAGTTGGATTGGGACGATAAGGGGGAATAAGAAGACAAGATGACTTGAGCAGTAGCATCAAAACCCCTACAAGCCTTGCTCGATGCAGTAGATAGGGCGCCGTTTAGTATCCTCTGCGAGACCAGAGTATCAAGAAATTGTTTAAAGGAAGGTTCATATTATTGCGTGGGCAGGATGCTGTCAGGTTACTCAGGCCTAGACAGGAAAATATTTAGGGTTCTCAACCAAAGCCTGATAGTCCACTAGGCTTCTTTCTCAGCACATAGGCTCCGCTTTACTTCCCTCCTAATAGCCCCACTAGTTTCATTATGTTCAGAGCCCGCTGGGAGCTATATTCTGGATTCCAAAATGTTCACCGAGCTCTCAGATATCCAGTGACTGATGCGGTGACGATTGATAATGCCGCAAGCAGGCTGTCCCATCATGTATGGCGCCTGTGATCCTATTTCATTTAAGCTCAATGTTCTTAGGACAGCGGGGCGAAAGTTCTGTACTCAGGGCATCCTGGTAGTGTTGCTTAACGGAATGCTGATAACATCTCAGTTGCCAATCGAGGGAGGTGCTTGGTATGCCTCCCAGTAAAGTTCCTGGAAGGACGACAGCGTACCAAACTTGTTCAGTCCAATATGAAACCACTTCATCTGTATTTTACGGCAACTTGATCTATTTGGGTCTATCGCTAACCAGCTATAGTTAGGTACCAAATGGCACTTCGGCACCCATTGTGTCTAAGAGCGGTGCCAGTAGGAAATAGTCGGTGCTCAGCAAACACCTGTGACAGACGCTCGCCGTTGTCCATCGGATTTTACGTAAATTCATACTTACCACCTGGTTGAGCTTCTGAAGAGCTCAGTCGAGCTATCTACTAAAGTAGGGTGGGCCCGACAAGCTTGTAACCATTCTGAAGGAACTCTACAACTAGACGTCGGACAAGCTTTCCTCTCCGTATGCTGTCACCTACGGCATTCATCAAGGTTGCCCTACTTCATCTCTCCTCTTCAACCTTTGAGCTACGGTTATCCGGAGAAATATAGGGAGAAAATACTGTATTATCTCGTATCTACTATTTTGTAGCCCTTAAGCACAACGTGTTTTTTCCTTATCTTGGTTTCAATGGTATTTTGCCTCATTACTGAATCAACTGGTGTTCGACCACGTGTTCTGCCGGTCTCTTGCATCGGTATTAATAAGCTGATATTTGAGGATATTTTGCTAAGCCCTGTCAGTTTATCTTTTGTTCATGTTGTTCGCTGAGAGTTTTCTCTTGAAGCTATCCTTTACTGATGGCTGCGTTTTGTTTTTTATTGTGTATAAGCACGGATACTGTGTTGGCTGCCGATCTTTATGCCCAAGTCGGAAAGTTGTTCTCTAATGAGCTTCATCTGGGCTGCCAACATAGTGAGTCCCCCGTAATGATAACGGTGAGCGATTGCTACATCTGTGTGAAGATGCTCGTCTCTTTCTCGCGAGCACAAACTTTCGACACAGCACTCGCCAGCTTTGCACCAGCCATAGACGCAAATCGATCATATCGCAATCAGTTACCGCTGCAGAGGCTGTGTCCAAAACTGTCGCTCGATTTGGAGCACAAACGTGGACTCTGACCATGCACTTGTCTGCGCCGAATTCCGGGTGCCTTTTGGTGGATGTCCGCAACGTCGATGTGAACGGATTGACACTAACCAGCTGGCGAAGCCAGGTGTTCTGTATTTATATCAAAGTGCGCTAACATCCGAGCTGAGTAAGCGCCCACTGAACCCCGTCGATGATCACTGGTTACATGTTCGTCAAACGTTACTATCCACAGGCATGTCTTCGTGTGGCAAACCAAATTGCCAAACTGGACATCGGGTCTCTACACAGTCTCTGGAACTTCTGGATGCTCGCTGACGTATTCCGGCTGGAAGCGAATACAATGAGGCTCGCAAAAATCTCAGGGCAAAACTGCGTGCTAGCCTGAAGAAAGACCGCGAAACCTATTGGTCTCACCGTGCCTCGGAGATGGAAACAGCGGCTACCGTTGGTAATCCTCGTAAGTTATTCCGTCTGATAGGGGAAACAGGCAGCACGGGACCTGGTGTTAGGGAGACCATACGCGACGAGAGTGGGCAGCCGATCGATAGCCTGTCAGAACGCCTGTAGCGTTGGGCTGAACACTTTGCAAGGCAATTTCACCAACCTGAGCTATCGCTTTCTTCTTCGGGCATTCAGCGCCCTTCTCCTTAGATCCGCCCTCACGCGCAGAAGTTGAACGTGAGATAAAACTGTTGAAATTACATAAGACCGCAGGGCCAGATAGAATTCCCCCGCCTCCCTCAAATTCGGGCGACCTGCTCTAGTGGGTGATTTACACGAGTTGCTAATGAAAGTTTTGGGAGCAGGTGACTGTCCCGACAGACTGCAGCCGCTCCGTCACTATCCCTATCTTCAAGGGAGGCTCCCGTTCGGATTGTGGCAATCATAGGGGGATCAGTCTGATCTCAATTGCCTCTAAATTGCTTGCGTCTGTCATTCTCCACAGACTGACTGGCACCTGTGAAAGCCAGATTTTTGAGGACCAAGCCAGCTTTCGTCGACGTCGGGGCCACTTCGACCAAATCTTCACCTTGCGTCAATTGTTGGAGCACTGTCATGTTTCTTGGCGACCCACCGTTGTCGTGTTTTTTGACATAAAAGTGCCTTCGACTCAGTCGATCGATGTGCCTATTGGGACTGTCTGCTGAGGAAAGGTGTGCCTGATAAATATATAAACATTATCAAAGCGCTGTACGCGCATAGTTCGGGCAGAATTAGGATGTCTGGCAGACTGTAACCACCCTTCAACTTCACCGGCGGTGTGAGACAAGGTTGCCCACTGTCACCTTTCCTCTTCAGCTTCGCTATTGATGAAGTCATGGAAATAGTGTTCGCTGGACACGACCTACAAGGTGTGGAGCTACTTCCTGTTGAGAGACTTGACTTGGAGTACGCGGACTATGTTGTCCCAATCTGTGACAACTCCCGAACATGTCAAGCAACACTAAACCGAATAGCACTGGCTGTCTATCGTTTTGGGCTATGCTTTGCTCCATCGAAATGCGAAGTACTCCTCCAGGATTTGCAGGGACCCACCTTTGCGCTACCGCTTCGTGATGACCTGCTAAAAGTCGTTCAGGAATACAAGTACCTGGGCAGCTATATTAGCGCCCGTGGGATCGCATAGCGGGATCGTATAGTGAAAGAACGAGGTGCTTTTGCCGATCTCCGCCACCTGTGGCGCATCCGCGACATTACTCTTGCTCTGAAGGGCCGAGTTTATAACGCAGCCGTCCGTTCAACCCTCTTGTACGGTTGTGAGATCTGGCCCATCAGGTTGACAGACATAAAGAGGCTCGTCATATTTGATCATCGCTGCTTTCGCAGCTTAGCTCATTTTTGGTGGGAGCATCTCGTGAGCAGTGAGCGTGTTTGGCGTCGCGTATTTGGTGCAGGAAGAGCGAGTGAACCGCTCAGCACCATTATACGACGCACCACGCTCCGATGGCTGGGCCTCGTATTACGCATGCCAGCACACCGACTTCTGCGACGTGCATTATTTGCGCGTCTGAGGTGCGGTTGGAAGAGCAGGAGAGGAGGCCAAGTGATGACTTGGTCGAGAGAAATGAAAACCCTCACTTCGAAGTTGGCGTCGGTTGGTGCAACCCGACTGACTTCCTGGGGTCCTAAGGTCAATGAACGCGTTTGGTTGGACACACTTGCTGATATGGCTAGGAGCTGACTCCAATGGCGTTGGTGTTGTGAGTTCCTTTGTCCATCCCCCTCCTGTTTAACATCCCCCTCCAATCACGATCTCATTCGCTAGGCACAAAAACCTTTTTGCGGCACGATAGCCGGCTGTTAGCTCTTCGGAACGATGTCTATCCGTTACTGGGGACTCAATCGGCGTGCCACCGTTGTATTTTTTCTTCTTGTCTTTAGTATTGTGGCACCATAGCTGAGGTGTTTTCCACCTGCAGCTAACGTGTACAATGATGATGATGTATATAAGCGTAAGGTTACCTGATTCGTAGCATAACTTGTATCGCATCTGTATGCTTGATGTGTTCATCTGACCGGTTTTTTGTAGCGCTTCGTTGAGCCCATAGATAATGCAGCCCTTGAGTCTCTGCATTCTGAGGCCGAAACCCGAGCCTTCGGAAACACAGTCGCCTACAGCTTCTTCAAACGGAAAAGAATTTATTGCATCTTTGAATCCTCCTAAGGAAGACCCTCTGACTTCTGAGGTGTTGCAAACTTTTAAGCAATCGTTGAAGGCTGAACATCTCGTCTCTTTGGATTCATTGATGGGATCTTGCAGCTCTTCGACTAAGGAGCTGTTGGTACCTGTTGTCATAAAGAAAGGTAAGCATATGTATATATATATTAATTTTATTAATTTATTTATTCTCACACCATTTGCAAGAGCAGGGATTCAACAGTAGGTTGGCGCACCGCACCGATGTTTTGCTTCCACGTTACTATCATCGGTCGTGCACAGTCTAGGTATACTGCGACGTTGCCCGCATCTACGCAGATTCGGACCGGTGGCCTCTAAATTCCAAGTTGGACACCACATCATTTCGGCTACCGATCGACAGTTTGCAAAGTGCCACAACTTATAGATAAGGAGGGTAAAGCAGAAAAAGAAAACTCACAACAGTTCTGCCATTACGTTTTAGTTTTCGCAATGTCCGTTGGGTTTTCCAACCGGATATGTTCATAGTTCTTGAATTCTTTAAGCTATTAATCTCCAGTGAATAAAGTGGAACGATGTGGGCCATCTCTGTGACGTGTCTGCTAGGACTTAAACGGCTGAACTAATTGGGGTCCGAAACAAACAACCCATCCATTTGGACGTCATACTGGACCTGTTAAATGTAACTACATTAGATGCACTCGAGCTGTGATTGCAGCGTACATGGCTACATCGAGAGCGCCCCAGTGCAGTCACTGCTTTCTCACTTAAAGCCATGTTCGTGCTTTGACCAACTTTTGCTTCTGACGAGTTGTAGTGTAAGTACGCCGACTCAAGAGTTTGCAAAATACGGGCACGCCCGCGGAACACCGTCGTGAGATTGCGCGGCACAGTTTGTCTAACTGGATGATTTGTCGATAAGTATCATCGATAGTGTGGCTCAGCTATTGTTCATATACTATGCATCGATGATACTGATGATGAGAAACAGACATCTTCTGGACAGCTTTTGTGCGTATGCGTAAAGTCTCGCAACCGCAATGCAAACTCGTTCAGTTGTTCAGCGAAAGATTAAGATAACTTCGCCATCAAACTTTATAATAATAATAATAATAATTTTTGTTCTCGTGATGCACGTGGGTAAGCATGACCATTTCGAATATTCCTCATCATCATCATCGTTATGCACCTCATCCAAAGGTGGGGGACTTCTCAGTGAAGTTAAAAGCTGGAGCCTCCAAGGATTTGTTAGCAGATTCTTTTGACTTCTTGATTGTATTTGAGTCCCCAGTGATAGAGGGCCAACATCAATGCACGTTAGCTTAGGATGAGGAACACATCTAATATGCCGCGATACAATAGCACAGTACCAAAATATTCGAAAAGAGCAATATAATGTAAACTATTCTATCACATATTAGAGATGCGCTCATGATTGGAGCAGAAATCTAAAGGAGTGAGGTTGGACAAAAAATTCAACACAAACGCCATTGGGGCTGGCTATTTGCCATAACAAGTGTGCCCGACCAGACGTGTTCATCGTTTTTGGTACCCCAGCGCGGCAGACGAGATGCATCAGCCGACGCCGAATTCGAAGAGAGGCTCTTCATTCCACTTGACTAAGTCATTGCTTGGCCTCCCCTCATCTTTTTCCATCCACACCCTTAACGCGCAGATAATACACATCGCAGAAGTCTGTACGCTGGCATGCGGAACACGTGGCCTAGCCATCGGAGCGTAGTGCGTCATACTATGGTACCGAGCTGTTCACTCGCTCTTCCTGGACCAAATACGCGAAGCCGAACATCTTCATTGCTTACGCGGTGCTCCCACCACACGTGAATTAAGCTGCGAAGGTACCGATGGTCGAAAGTAGTTAGCCTCTTTTGGTCTGTCTATTTGATGGGCTAGGTTTCACAACCGTACAGGGGGGTTGAATCGACGGCTGCATTATAAACTCGGCCCTTCAGGATGAGAGTGATGTCGTGTCTGCGCCACAGGTGGCGGAGATTAACAAAAACACCTCATTATTCTGCTCTACTGCTCGTAATCTCAGCTTCGATTCCACGGGCGCTGATATAGCTGCCCAGATACTTGGATTCCTGAACGACTTCTAGCTGATCACCACAAAGCGTTAGCGAAGGGGTGGGTCCCTGCCAATTTTCGAGAACTACTTTGCATTTAGAGGGTGCAGTGCATAGCCCAACACAATTGACTGCCAGCGCGGCTTGGCACGCTTGGGGACTGTCATATGAGGGCAATGTCGTTCGCATACTCCACGTCAAGAAGTCGCTCACTAGGAAGTAGCTTCACACCTTGTAGGTCGTGTCCAGCGAATGCTGTTTCCATGACTTCGTCAATGGCAAAGTCAAAGAGGAAAGGTGACAGCAGGCAACCTTGTTTCACACCGCTGGTGAAGTTGAAGGATGGCGACAGTTTTCCATAAACGCTCACTCTGCCCGTACTATGCGCCTACTGCTCTCTGGCAATGTTATCTATTTATCGGGCACACCTTTCTTCAGCAGATAGTCTCAAAGGACATATCGATCAACTGAATCGAAGGCACATTTATGTCAAGAAGCACGATAACTCTGGGTCTCCAATAAATGTGGAGATGCATCCTCCATTTCGACAAATCCGGCTTGCTCCTCACGTATCTGACTTTCACTAGTGCCACAGTCTGTGGTGAACGATAGACGCGAACAATTTGGAGTCATTTGTGGCCATACTGGTCCCTCTGTAATTGCAAAAACCCCAACGGGAGCCTCCCTTGAAAATTGTGATAGTGACGGAGCGGCTCCAGTCTGTTGAGACGGTCTCCTGTTCCCACATTTTCACTTTTAACTCGTGTAAACCATCTACAGGATCAAGTCGTCTGAATATAAGGAGGGCTATGGCAGTCTATCTGCCTCTGCGGCCTTATTCAATTTCAGAAGCCTAATCTCTCGCTCGACTTCTGATCTTAAGGGCGGGTCCAATGAGACTATCCAGGGAGAGGTGCAACCAATGTCCGAAAAAGATAGGGGTATATCAGACTGGTGAAACTGCTTTGCATGATGTTCGGCCCAATCCTCCAAGTGGTTTAACAGACTGTGGTTCGACTGCCCACTCTCCTCGCGTATGGTCTCGCTAACACAAGATCTTCTGTTGTCCGTTTCCCGGTATCAAACAAAGTAACCCACGGTGATTACCAACGGCAACGGATATTTCCATTTCCGAAGCACGATGAGACCACCAGACTTCGCAATCTCTTTTCAGGCTAGCACGCAGTTTTGCCTTGAGATTTTTGGTGGTCTAATTGTATTCGCCTCTAGTAGGAATACATCGTCGTGCACCCAAAAGTTCCAGGAAATGTATAGATACTCAGTGTCAAGGTTCGCACTTTCATTTTCCACTTGAAAACTTGCCAGCTGATAGTAATCTCTGGAGAATATGCGACCAGTGATCCTCAACGGTTTTCGATAGGCGCTTACTCAGCCCGGATGCCAGCGTACTTTGATTCGCATTCAGGACACCTGGCTTCCCCAATTGGTTGTTGTCTATGCGCTCACAGTGACGTGGCGGACATCCTCCGAAACCCACCTGGATGTGGGCACACACAAGATCGTGATCGACGTCTACGCTCATGCTCCAAATCGAGCGACCGTTTTGGACACAGCCTCTCCAGCGGTAACTTATCGCGATATGATCGATTTGTGTCCATGGCTGGTTCGAGGTCGGTGGGCGCCAATTCATTCTTTTGTGGTTGGTGTGTCGGAACTTAGTTTTCGGTGTAGCAACCGCTCACGGTTATCATTACGGGAGTCTACACCATGTTGGCCGCCCAGATGAAGCTCATCAGTAGACACTTTTCTGACTTAAGCATTCAGATCACCAGTAAGCACCGCAGTATCCGTACTCTTTCTGAGACGAAAGAGACCGTTAACTTGGTATTAGAAATCATCTTTCTCCGAATCCGCGCTGCAGTTTGTGGGGATGCGAACGCGTGCTTACTGTTTGCAATGATTCTGGCTGGCGTATGGTAGATGCACCAAAGGTGTTTTCGATTCTTATCACTGTGACTGGTGGTAGGCCATTTCTAAGGATCGGGCCTATTCAGGAGCAGAGTAGAAATCACACGACACGTTTTCCAAGTGGCTTTGACCTATGCTTTGGGACTGCAGACCAGTTATAAAAGCATCACAAATGGTGTCCTCGCAGTTCTCTGCCGATACCGTTTTGAAGTTGCAGTCCTAAACCAGTGACTTCAACTTCTACATGAAGTTGTCTTGGGTTTAATCGCCTTATTCTTTGCTCGTATCAAGTAGGTGGCGTGCGATGGTTCCATTTTTTGGTTTGCTGTATACTTTTCTCAGTGTTTCGATAGCAAGTTCGTAGGTTCCACACTCCTTAACATGGTCATATACATCACTAGATACCTAATTAGCGATGTCCCTTAATTTATTAAGCGACGCAGGATCAGTGGTGTCCAAAAATGCGTAAAAGTGTCAAACCAGTGTGTCCATTGCTTCGCAGCGTTTGCATTGTTGGGATCACCATCGAAACCTTCAGCTCGGAGGATACGGTCACTTTCTTGCTGAATAGATTGTTAAATAAATTGGCTGAGAACAAACGCGCCGAATGAGAATGAGTATAGCCCGAATGAATAGACTTTATTCAGCAAGAAAGCGAATCGAGCGGGCTGAAATAGAGTATAGACAAGCTGTGATATATAGCGACCGAAAAGTGTTTGCCAGTTAAACATAATGTGTGTAACTTCTATGTCAGGCCGCCATAACAAGCAGGCACCGTTTGTCCCCTCGCGATTTCGAAGCTCTGAACGAGCCAGCTAATCTATTGACGCATACCCGGCTGTTGTCTGGGATCCAATCCATCAGGGCAGCTTCAGCCCGGCGACTCAAAACAATGCCTACACCCGTTTGGCCGGCATTTGAAGCTACATCATCTCCAAACATGCGTAATGCGGATCTACATTCAAGGTCACATTTTTGGGATCACAGGGTAAGCACACAGCTCGGGTCTCGCGGCCGGGATTCCGATGAACAGCAGCTATCGCTCGACACGGGCTTGGTTGTTCGGGCAAATGATGCTTATTGACCAATCTGTGGCAAAGTGCGCACGTTGAAGCATGTGAATCTGTTCGTCTGTTCGTCTTCTTTCCGCGCTT